CCGCCGTCTCCTGCTGCCGATCGTGCCGCCGCGTGCTGCCGCAGTGCCGGGTCGGGTCTGGTCAACCCGGCAACCCGCCGGTTCGGATTTTCGACCCGTTTCTCTACCCGGGTCGGGTTAGGGTCGACCCGTTTTTCACCCGGGTTAGTTCGGGTTCGACCCGAACCCAACCCGTGACCCGAAATTGACACCCCTACTTAGCACCTTAAATGAAAAAAAAAAAGAATTTTATTTTTATCAACGTATTAATAAAATTGAAGTTAAAGAGACTTTAAAGAAAATGAAATGTGGAAAAGCTGTTGGACTAGATGATACTCTAATAGAGGTGTGGAAATGCTTAGGAGATGAAGGAATTACTTGGCTTACGAAGCTTTCCAATATTATTTTGAAAACTATAAAGATGTCAAATGAGTGGAGAATAAGTGTGTTGATTTATATTTTTAAGAATAAAAGTGATGCACAAGATTTTGCGAATTATAGAGGAATTAAGTTAATGTGTCATACTTTAAAACTATGGGAGACAGTTATAAAGCATAGGTTGTAGTGTGACACTTATGTTTCTCAAATTCAATTTTGATTCATCCACTGTGAAAGCTATGCATTTATTGAGAGGTTTAATGGAGAAGTATAGAGAGAATAAGAAGGATATACATATAATTTTTATTGATATAGATAAAGCGTACTATAAAGTTCTAAGAGAAGTGTTATGGAGAGCTCTACATAAGAAATGGGTTAATAATGCTTATGTTTAAGTCATTAAGGATATATATGCAATATTTGTTACTTGTGTTCAAATAGAAGGTGGTTTGACAAATTATTTTCAAATTTCAGCTGGATCACATCAAGGATCAGCCTTAAGCCCATATCTTTTTGCTTTATTCATGGATGTTCTTGCTAGACATTTGCAAGAGGTTGTACTCTAGTGTATGCTTTTTGCTGATGATATTCTTCTTGTTGATAAGACTAGATAAGGAGTTGAAGGTAAACTTGAATTATGGAGTTCAACCTTAGAGTATAAAGGCTTTCATTTGAGTAGATCTAAAATTGAATATATAGAGTATAATTTTAGTAATAATAGATCTAGCGGGGGGATTGTGACTTTGGGCGATCAAGTCATTAATAAGAGCACATATTTTAGATAATCTTGGGTTTATTGTTCAGAGTGATGTTGAATAGATAGAGATATTATTAGTACAATTCAAGTTGGATGGTCGAAGTAGAGGAATGCATTAGACTTGTTGTGAGATAGAAAAGTTCCTCTCAAACTCAAATAAAGGAAAATTCTATAAGATGGTAGTGAGACCTGTAATGCTTTATGGTGCAGAATGTTGACCGTTAAAAGAGAAGCATAATATTGAGTTAAGTGTTGTAGAGATGAGGATGCTCAGGTGGATGAGTGGCTTTACTCTTAAAGACAATATACGAAATGAGCATATACATGAAAAGGTTTGAGTAGCTCTAGTTGAAGATAAGATTAGAGTGAGTCACCTTAGATGGTTTGGTCACATAAAATGATAAAATCATGACCTTTCGATGACACGGTTAGGAAAGTAGAGTCACCTTAGATGGTTGGGTCACATAACAAAGTCATTTCTAATATTTTGTAACTGTGGCCTTCAGATGTATTATATTTGACTTATGTTATGAAAGGTAAAGGTACACCTAAAGAGACTTGGTTACAAAATATTAGAAATGATATTTCTTTATTAGATTTACATGAGAATTTAACTCTTAACATGAAACATGGAGAAACATGATTTATGTAGTCGACCCCACATAGTGAATAAAGGCTTATTGTTGTTGTTGTGTTAAAGAAAGATATAGGTAGGCCTAAAAAAATTTCATTAAAAGTATTGTAAATGACTTTTTTATTAGATTTAAACGAGAACGTAACTCTTAATATGATATAACAGAAAAAAAAAAAAAAGTTTATAAAGCTGACTCACATAGTGAGATAAAAGCTTGATGTTATCATAATTAAATTAAATTTTATCCTGAATATTCTAACCTAATTTTTTTCCATTTAAATATTAAGTGAGAACTAGTTTATTTAAAAAAAAAAAAAGAGAACTAGTTTAATTGTTAAAAGCGTGAGCTTACTGCGGAAGCTTCACACAAGATGGATAATCTTTATTCTTTTTTTGGGTAAGATAATCTTTATTCTTTACCACTGCGCGTCGTACGTCAACGACAGCAAGCAAAATTTGAAGACACGTGTCACAGCCCGTGGCGGCTCATAAATCAGAGCTGTCATTTGGCAACGGTCAACTTCCAGGTGAAAAATCAAATGCAACCGTTGTTTTTCAAATTAAAAAGAACAGCCATTCGGACTATAGAATCTGCCTCGAGGAAACAGGAGAGATTATTGTGTCCGGATACTATGAAGTACTGAGTATCAAGTAGGAAGTGATGTGGTGCATTTTCATTGGGCTCCGAACATGTCCGATGACCTGACCCAATAATTTTCCCCCAACTGTTGAAGCCAATCCAATGGACCAGATCGTGGTTACTCCGCGCATTCTCACCCATCAAGCGAGTTTATTTAGATTGGTACACAAATTGACAAAATTAAATAAATCAATCTAATGTTCAATTTTTCGGGAAAAAAATCCCAAATTGAACCTTTAGTGAGAGAACAAATTTGTTTTTATCATAAAATTTATATATTTAAATATATACAGAATATTTGAAATAATTTTTTAAATTTTATTTTTCTCCTAGAACTCTGCAATTAATTTTATAAATATTTATAATTCTCTCAAATAAACTCTTTATATTCTTCCTTATTTCTTGAAAGCTTTAAAATGAGACGAGCCGAGTTTAGGGTTGAGTTATTAGCTCATCAAACTAATCTTATGAGCCATTTATTAGCTTGAGCTAAACTAACTCACCTGCTAATATGACTCAATCATATCACTAATCATCGATAATGAAAGAAAAAAATTGCAAACAATAACGATGAATTAGATATTTAAATTATTAATAAACTCTCACTGATAAATTGACAATATATTTTCTATAAGAGATTAATTAAGATTTTTATTTTCAATAAAGTTGTAATTTTTTGTTTTGCATCGATTATTATCATTTTCTCACTCGCTATATTAGTGAATCTCAATGTAATCTCCATTGACACAAATCATTTAGTTATGAAGAAAAAAAATTAGACTTATGATCAAATTTAATTAGACCAATGATCACACTAATAATTTCAAAGATAAATTGAAAATTAATATATAAATGAGTCTTATTCAAGCAAATCAAAAAAGACTTAGCGTCAGTTTGTGATAACTATAACTTTTTATATAAGTGATTATAAAGCTGCTATGGAGAAAATAATTTTATTAAAAAATTTTATAGCGAACGAATAACTTCCTAATAAAAAAATTTTGAAAATAATAAAAAAATAATGATCAAATAAAAACTGTGATGAAGATTTGAGCGCAAAATTAAAAGAAAGCTATCCCGAGTGAAATTTTAATGGGACTTAACTCTAAACTAAAATGCACATGTTTTTTTTTTTATATATTTTTTTTTAATTTTATATTTATTGATTTTTTTTTTAAAACTTTTGAATGAGTTTAATCGCAATAAATTAATAGTTAACGTATTAACATGCTACAACACGGTTCCACCGTAAGGAGAAAATTTCTCAAAGCCACTGACGCCCACCTCTAACCTCTACACAGTCGTCTTTTCTTTCTGTTTTTTATTTGCTTAGGTTAGCTATGACGGTTATGAGAATTTCTACATTTGATGAACTAATTATCCTTATAACACATAACGATAAGGTAGCAAATCAGAGTCCTGCATTGGGTATTCATACCCACGTACCCACGCACGTACCCACCCATACCCAATGGGCATGGGTGAGTATGGGTACATCCATGACTTCGTGGGTGGATATGAGTGGGTACTCAACATCAGAAGACAAACCAATATACATTACTAATCACCATATGCTTGCAGTATGTTACAATAATCCTTACTATGCAGTGTGCAACATTGAACCACGTTGTGACCACGATAAATTTTGATATGTGGCTTAAAAGTTTGCAGTCAGAGAAAAGGGCCAAAAACCTCAAGACCATTAATCCGTGGCTGACTGCATTCAAGAAGCGTGGAAAGTGAGTGGGTGTTGGTGGGTATGACATCCCAAATGTCACCATAGGTGGGCGTGGGTGAGCAAAGCTCGCTAGCTCAGAGCGTGGGTACCCAATGGGTACCTAATCAAGACCCCATGTAGGGCTCTGTAGCAAATGTATATTGACGATCATACAAATTAAATAATAGTTGCGAAGTCTATCAATCAAATTGCTATTTTTATGTAGCTCATTTTGATCTGTTAGTTTGGAGTTTTGATTATAAATCAAGATATCTTGGGCTCGAATGAATTTACCTTAATTGACCTGAAAGTTTCACGAGAAAAAAATGCTCTTAGAAATTCAGGTCACTTTTGCTTGCTTAAGCATGATCTAAACCAACATATCATCTATATTTATAAAAATAATATTTAATACAAATATTATATGAAAGGCACAGTCAGATTAGTTCAAAAAGATTTTAAAATGAGTACAAAGTGGATAACATTAATTTAACTCTTGGCTCTATTAGATAATAAATGTAATGAGTTGTTTATATATTAATATTAGGTATTATATAGTTAATTAGCATTTAATTAATTATAATGGGTCTTATAAAGAGATAAATATCACATAAAATATGAGAGTTTCGATGACTCTATGAGGAGAGTAAATTCATAAATATCACATAAAATATCTTTCCCATAATATTTGAAGTTATAGACATCCCCTAATTATGTGTCTACTCTCTTCCTATGAATTTTTAGTTAAAAAAAAAAGGTCAAAATTGTCTAATTATTTATATATTTTATTATTTTTAATATTTAATTCGTACAAAATCATCCGCGTGCGACGCGGGGCCCGGGGAGCGATCAAGACTATCTCCTACTCTTCGATGATCTAAAGAGACGAAAAAAAGATACTTGCAATAAGAAGAAGAAGAGGATGAAGAAGAAGAAGGAACACAGAAAGCCCCCACACGCGTTCTCATGGCGGGGGACCATACCCTTTATAATCCCCGCATCACAGGCCATGAGGATCAGCAATCACACTTTCTCCTTTTGCCATTTTGCTCACTTTCTTGTACTCACCATCTATTTCGATAAAGATTCGGCTTTTTCCCGAGAAAAGATTCAGTTTTTAGCGGAATTAACTGTCTTTCGATGGATTTGCTCAGAGTAGGCGGTGGAGTGGTACTGCGGATTGTTCCGAAATTGTCGGTGTTCGGGTTCTTGATTTCGGCCTCGGTTTCCTTTGCTTCTTGGTTGGGCGCACGTTCTTTGTTTCGGGTTTGGGAGTTCTTGAAGGGGCAAGAGGGGAAGACTGAGAAGACGATGATGGCGATGGTGGCGAGGCAGGGAAGGGAGCTTCAGAGGTACTCTAGCTGCGGTCGGAGGCTTGTTGTCGGGTGAGTCGGCTTCTAGCGAGCTTAATTGGATTGGAGGATCGAGTTGAATCATTGATTTCTTTTTTCTTGTTCGTTCTGTGGTGTTTTAGATTTTGATTGCATTTTGCATTTGGTTTCATTCTATTTGACAATCAACCAATGTTCTTGTGCCCTAGATTCTTCGAGGGGTTTTTTTTTTCCTGCTTTTGAAAATTTTTCCCTTCTTATCTGCTAAAAATTTGTGAGTTCTTAACCGGAATTTTCATCTTATTTGAAATTTTGGTTTCCAAGTTGCATCATTTTCTGCTATGCATTTGTTTTGGCTTACATTGAACCTGAACAATGGATGGTAAATGCAGTGAAATTTTGCCTTATTTTTAATGTTTTAATGATATATTTGCATTTTATCTTCCATTTCATTGATTTTAGTTTTCTTTTCTCAACATATCTGTAGGAAAATGCTATTATAATTCTGTCTGCATTACGTTTTTGGTTAGATTTCATCTAAATAAATTCTGTTTTCAATCAAACAGGTGCATTCCATATAAGTTAAAGAAGGGTGATCCTTGCACGGAGGGCATAGATAAATTGGTGCAAGTTCTTGTCATAAGCTCACAAAAGGGCCATGGGATGATGTTTCCTAAGGTAAATTAAAGATCTTCCTTTGAGGCATTTGGTGAACATTTTTTATGAAATGCAGCAACTCCATTTACCCTATGTCAAGAACCCTAATTTCCTCATTTTAGGATTTCATAGAGCTATTTCTTTTGTTTTAGATATCTATTTGAGCATCTTATCCTGATGAATCAAGCTAATTTTGTTCAGGGAGGATGGGAATCTGATGAAACTATAACGCAAGCAGCTTCGAGGGAGGCATTGGAGGAAGCTGGTGTACATGGAAATGTTGAGGTTAGTGTAAATAATCATAAAAATTTTATTCTCATTGAGTAATTTCAAACTAAAAATTATATTCAATTGCAGAGCAAACTTGGAAGATGGATGTATAAAAGCAATAGATACAATGTGCTTTATGAGGGCATTATGTTTCCATTGAATGTGAAAGAGGAATTGCCTTATTGGCCCGAGATGGAAGTTCGGAAGAGGAGATGGGTAAGTAGAAGAAAATTTTGAATAATGTTCTATACTAATGATGGATATTTAGACTTCGTTTGAGACGGCTTTCTTACTACTTCTTAAAGCATCTTTCTAGCATAAAAATTTTAATTTTTAAACTAAAAAGCTATTTTAAGAAGCAATAAAAAAGCCGTTCCAAACGACGCCTTAGTTTGCTTAATATTTTTGTTTTTTCTCTGAACTCTTTGCTTAATTTGATGAACAGGTGAGTGTGGCTGAAGCGAGAGAGGGATGCCAACATGTTTGGATGAGGGAAGCATTGGAAGTATTGCTAACAAGACTTGGGAAACAGGTCTCAAATGCTTAGATTTTTATGTTTTTGGGAGGAATGGCTTTCATTTCTTTAACAGTGAGAGCAGAAGAAAGAACAACAATGGTGACAGGTTTAAACACACAGCACAAAATTCTTTGTATATACAATTCTTTGCCTGCAAGTGAGGAAAAATTTAGTTTTTGTTTTTTCATTTTTTTTAGGAAATAGATTCACCATGGTTCAGAAAGAGGGAATGTAGTTGTATGTTCTCATAAGGTTCATCCACTTTTTGTAGTGAATGTTATGAGAATGCTGATTGATGGAAATAGGGAATCGAAGCAACTGTGTTGTAACAAAAGAAAAGGAAAAAAAGAAATCCACATTCTTTATTTTTCTGTACATTGATGTGATTATTGTCTTTTACTAGAATGAATAGCAGGAGTATTGTTCACATTATCACTTTATGATAATTGAAAGGGGAAATCATGGAGTATTACAAACACCAGGGTTCTAATAAGCCAAATGAACTAAAAGATGATGAGATCTATAATATGTGGCTTTTTCCTTATTATTTTATGCGAACATCGAACGCCGTCCGGAAACCAACCAGATTGTTGAACATCAACCTTTTGCTTGGTACCACGGCTCGGTACCGCTGATGTGGCGCATTCTGGTTGGTCTCTAGACAGCATTCTGCATCCGGTCTCCACACAGAATAATTTATCATGGCTTTTTGGCAACATACTAATTGGAACTTTTCTGTTGGTTGTATAGTTGAGGGTATATAAAGGGGCTAAAGTGTAAGGATATCCATCTACCTTTTGTTCTCCTGCACAGCTTTGGAGGGCTGTCTGTGACACTTATCATCAATCTCGTTTGGTGTCTCTAGTTTTAATAAATAGAACATGATTTGTACAATGCTGCCAACTAGCCACCTATCCTTTATGAAAGAGGGCTGGCTTTTACCTTTCATTATGGTTGTGCATTCGGTTGGTTTGAACTTCGAATCAATTGAACTTGAAGTATAATATAATCAAATCAAATAAAAAAACCCTATAATTTGATGGGTTTGATTGAATTTTTAGATAAATCACACCTTTCATATTAATTAAAGTTAGAGGTGTCAATTTTGGGTCAATGGTCGAGTTTGGGTCGAATCCGACATTGATCTGGTACTATACGGGTCAACCTGAACTCAACCCATTTTTAAAAACGGGCAATTTTTTGGACCCAAAGCCAACCCGCTAAGAGCCAGCCCTGTGTGTGTGTTCGTGGTTCATTATCGAAGACTCGAATGAGGCGTTGCAGCAGACAATCGTTGTTGCTGCCGATCAGACCGGAAGGAACGTCGTTGAAGGAGGCATTGGCTAGTTTTGCAACTGGCGGTGAGCATCTTCAGCCAGTGACAGTGAGCTACTTCAGGTAGCGGCGAGCTGCCAAATGACAGCGACGGTGAGCGGAGCGGAGGCCGAACCAGTGGGCGGGATTGACAGAGCGGAGGTCGTCCGGTTTGAGCTGCCAAATGACAGTGATTGAGAGACGAACGACGACGCTACTGAGTGGGACGACACGACCGGCGATTGAGCGGGAAATCCGGGTCAAATCGGGTTAATTTGGGTTTCCGGGCCAACCTGAACCCGAACCTCGGGTTCGGGTCAACCCAAACTTAAAATGTTCGGGTCGGGTTCGGGTTGGATTTTCATGTCATGTCAAATATTGACACCCCTAATTAAAGTGGAAATGGATGTTGGGCTTTAATGAAATATAGAAGTAAATCAGTCGTTAGTTAATGGATTTTTGGTATGAAATGGCATTGATGATCGATCAGTTACAGGATTTTGATACTCACTGAACGTGAAGATATTGTTGCACTGCAGAAAGCAAGAGATCTACGTTGCTTGATTGCTGCGATTCAATAGCTATAAATTCCTCACATGAACGCGACACCAAATATGGCATTTGTATATGCTAAGTGTAATCCCAATTGTCAGAAAGAATACCTTCATAAAAGCATACGGAAGCACGACCAATTCTTAGAAATTATTTCTCATATAAATTTAAGCAGAATCAACCTTATTGTATGAGAAAATTCGAATCAAGCTCTTAATATTTTGGTTCACTGTGTAGAACTATAGAGAATGTTTGGGAGCACTAAGCTATTGAGTCACAGAGAAAATTACTGTGCTTGGACTGGGTGGCAAATTACAGCCCGCTGAGCAAGAAATTATTTTGTGCGGAGTCCAGACCGCAAAAACCGTCCGAATTTGCTATTTACTGAGTATTTTTTGAGTATCCGCTAAGAGCATATAACTAACCCAATCACGTGAATGGAGCGTATTTGCAAAAGCCTCGGACAAATTTTTGAATTTTCTCATTGGAATAAAATATTTTTGTTATTAGTTCGAAAAAATTTCGAACAAGATTTAAATTGTATAGCATGAGGTCTATGATTGAAAAATGTTTGAAGAAAACTTGGATAGGGGTTGAAATAGATCATATATGAAGATCGATCAAATATACTTCAAAGGACATTCGAATATCATTCAAATAAGGGTCTAATATGAATCATAACACAATATCACAAAACAATAAATACAATACAACAAATATGATGAGTTTAGTTATTACATAACAAATATGATACAATTCAATCACGAAATATAATTAATGAGCCATAACATTCATAACACAAAATATATAAATTTAGAAGAAATGCAAAAGGAGAAAAACTCCTATATATTAAATCATAGAATATAATTGAAGAGCTATAACATTCATAACATATATAACATAAATTTCGAAGGAATGTAGAAGGAGAGCAGATCCTATCTATTATCAAATAGATAGGATTTATTTTAAAAATTCTATTTTTTTGAGAGATTTTGATTCTTTAAGAACCTATATTTTTTTGTTATATTAAAGCGTAGGCTCCTTATCCTTACCCCCCTTCCCTTCCACTATGCTTCACACTCCTTTGCAACTCAACTATTTCGACCGTGCACCTCACTTCTAATTCATTGGCCGATCTGATTTTCATAACGATGAACAAAGTCAAACATTTTTTTAATTTTTTTTAAAATATTAGATAGCCGCATATCCATATATCAGCAGCTATGATTTTCTGAACGTCAATGATGAATACTATTTATCAAATTATTACTTAAAGACATCAACAATTAAAATAACTAACAAATGTTCAGTCATTGCATAGCAAATCTCAACGAATCAAACAGCCCAATAAACTACTTTAAAAAAAAAGGGTTCAAACTAGAAAATATCATGACCCATAATAAAGAGAGTTGGCGTTAACATAATCAAACAAGAAAAGGATGACCAGACCCTCTCGCTGATAATCGAATAAAACTGATTAGGATTACCATTTAGCTCAATTCACTAAATACCACATTTATTTACATAGCAGTACATACTCGTTATATATTCAAATCTCTCGTAAAATGCTTGGCTGCTGCTACTTTTCTGTGGGCATCAGACTCAACTTTTAGGCTTCGTTTGAGACGACTTTTTCACTTCTTCCCTAAACAGCTTTTTAGTGTATTAAAAAATTGTTTTAAGAAGCAGGAAAAAAACTGTCCCAAACGAAGTCTTAATTTACAGCAATTGAAGCTCTAAAGGATTCCTGTATATCATACAGATGATCATATAATTATCTCAGTCCATAGTTTCTTTTAAGCTAAGCTGAGCCCATATGTTTAAATAACTAAAACTGATTTCAGTGATAATGATGAAATATACAGACTCCTGCTATCCAATAATCAGGGGAAAGTTCTATTTTATAGGCTCCTGCAACCAGGATCCTCATCAAACTCGTTACTTGTATGATCCTTGTTACTATCTGTTTTAATTTCAGCTGAACTAAATCTCCCAACATCATCAACCTTCTGAACCTCTGGCTTGATTTCAGTCGAATCCGAATTCTCAGGACTGTTAGAAACCTTAGTATTTTGCTTGGTTTCTCTCAAGGGCGAGGAACAAGAAGCATCACTACGAAGAGCTGAATCCTGCTGCACCAAAGCAGCAGAAGCTGATGGGCTTTCTAAAACTAAATGGGAACCTTCACTAGCTTTACCAGTACTAGGATCCTCGCCAGATACAGCCATTTCATTTACGTTTGATGACTGGGTAGTCCCTGTCTCTTCAAAATGCTTAACAGCATGGTCATAAGCATGCAACGATAAAGCTTGAATTCCTGACTGATCAACTTCAACGGTATGATTTTCAATAGCCTTATCTTCTCTAGCAGCTTCCGTTATTTTTTTATCACCACTACTGCTCCTTGCTTTCATATCCAATGCTGTAGTAGCTTTCACTGGTTTAATCTCTGCAGTATCAGGGTGTACTTGCAGGGGTTCAGATTCAGTGGGCAGGGCAAGTACAATACCATCAACCTTTTTCAACACATCTGTTTCTTCTATGTAAGCAGAAGCTCCATTCCTGATGTTATCAGTGTTCAAATGCATTTTGCTCCCTTCTATTTTGGAAATTACAGGAGCTTCACCAACATTTTCTTCATGGCAGTTCTCAACATGTATATCTACTTGCTGATTAAACTGAATATTCTTATCATGAACATGCGTAGCTTCAGGAGGAAGGGCATCAAGAGATTGACCTGGAGCGCATTCCATATCATCAATACTTTCCTTAGGAATATTTGAAAGAGTGCAAGCCGAAGATAACCCTCGACTACCATTATCCCCATCATTATCAGTAAGCATTCTGTTTTCTATCTCTGGTGGTTCATGCCCCACTGAACAACAAACAGCAGTTGTACTGTGTTCTGCAGGAGAATGCTCAATGGATTTGGAAACATCTAAGAGAGGCAAAGCATTAGTTAATCCATGTCCATTGTCTGAACCTGATATAGAAAATGCTGATGTATGGTCATCACTATGAAGCTCCATTGATACACAAACACCAGAGAGAGGTTTATAGGCCACCGATGCTTTGATCTTCTCTGTTGCATGGCCAACTGATTCAGTAAAACCCAAACCATTTAAAGAATCAGTAGCATTGTCGGTTGTATGCTCAACTGATGCAGAAGCGCCTAAGACTTGTTGAACATTTGTTGATGAATCCTGCTCCCTTGCTGCATGCTCAACAAGTTCAGATAATTTCAAATCTGTTTGAGAAATAGCTGATAAATGCTGCTCCTCAAGAGCAGGATCGATTGATTCATTCGCACCAAAGACAGGAGAAGCAGCCACAGCTTCCTGCTGTGCTTCATGTTCAATTAACTCAGATGAGATTGTTAGCATAATAGTTGATGCATTATGTTCCTGCACTGCAAACTTTTTTGATCCTATAAGACTAGAATCTGGAAGAGCAGTTGACGGAGGGTGCTTCTGTGAAATTTCTGGATTATTTTCCAAGGACATCACTTTGACAAGATCAGATGAGGTGCTACTGTTATCTTTCTCATTTTCCACAGAAACAGAGACTTTTCCTTCATTTTCATCACAGGTAACTGAACAAGAAGATGGCGGTATTATCACAGACTGCGATTTTAAATTATCTGCATTGGAATCATCGATAACCCTTTTTTCTAGATGAGAAGATTCCAATTCCACAACAGGTTTGTCGACTTCCAGAACAGAGGTCACAGAACAATCTTCTTTAGTACAACTCTGGGAACCAGATTTCTCCTGGTTAGTTGGATTCAAATCTGAAATGACACGCAAAGTTTTAGAAACATGCAGAAATTAATGCACAGAAATATCCAAAACTTAATGACATTCAAGCATATGTGTTAATATCAAACCTGCTGGGTGTGTTTTAGAGTTCTGTGCATCACTTTTCACTAAAGATCGGCCTGTAATTTTTGCTTCAAGAATCTCAGGCACAGTATTTCTATCTGGGGCTGAAGATTTACTTACTGAAGTCAGCTGCTTGACTTCTGCCTCAGAAAAACCTTCGGGTCTTATACATGTCACGCTAGATGTCACGGGCTCTTCTAGTAACTGATCAATCTCAGTATTTTTGAAATTGTCAGTTAGCTTAATAGTTGCATTAGCAGGAAGAACCATATTTGACTTTCCCTCCAATGGGTTGATTTTTGGTAATGGAAACTCTCTCAAAGATGGAAGACCCAGAACAAGCCCACCTTCCATATTGCTTGAAGATGTAGTATTGGTTTCAACATTACCCTTTGACGTCACAGACAATGTTTTATTTGGATCAAAAGCAGAAACACCAGTAACACCTTGGTCAAGTTTGATTTCTTTTGTCACAGTTTGTTCAAAATTCCTTGAAGCTGAAGTGACAGCTTTTTCAGACGACATTATCTGCCTATTACCTTGCTTTGTTGGATCTAACTTCTCCAATGAAGTTTCTATTTGTTGGAAGGAAATACCAGGACCCTGAGCAGTTTTAAACCTGGATGTACCAGGCCCAGCTTCTATGTTTCCACTCTCCTGTTTTGTTTTCATGGTAGTTGCCTTACCAGTTCTTCCTCTGCTCTCTGCCTTCTTAGAACCATCTGCAAGCTTCAATCCTGCTTGTCGGGCACGTCGTTCACAAGCTGCTGTTGACGAGTTGCATCTGCTTCTTGTTTCACGAGCAGCTGCCTTTTTTCTTGTTACTGAAGCTCTATTTTCAGAATCTCTATGGATTACCACACGATCTGCTCTATAATCTAAAACTGGGGAGTCCTGTACTTGGCAAGATGGGATCGGATCTGCCAAGTTTTCATGATTCATGCTTGTGGACGATAACATTGGAGTTCCTGTGATGCTAGCATTGTCCTGAAATTTGATAGCTTCAATAGATACTGAACTTTGAGATTCATCGCCTGGTGCTTTATCACCAACTGAACTACTATGGCTTGCCAATAAGCTATTACCAGAAGTTGATTTTGAATTTCTTAGAAGGGATTTATCAACTGATTTCAACTTATTAAAGGCTTCAACATCTACACTAGGCGTTGTCTCTTGATTCATCTGAGTACATATGTCACTTCTATTCTCATCAGCTGGTTTTAGCATCTCACTTGATTTAGCATGAAGATCAGGTGGAGTCTTATCTAACATTTGAATGGAATTCACATCATTTATCCCAACTTCTGTGTGCTTGTCATTTAATGAGCTTTCAATATTTTGTTCCGTTTTTTGGGTTCTCTCTTGTAAGCTATCAACTGTTTTCTCAGCTTGCCCTTGCTTTGGACTAAATGCGTCAGGTGTAGATGAGCCAAAGGTTTGCTTTGCAGTTGAATAATCTGAGTCAGTTTTCACACCATCAGGATTCTTTGGCTGCAGGACACTGACCTGATCCGGGGTTACCGGTAATTTAGTGCCAATAGAAGCTGATTCAGTCTCAGATACAGTAGTTACATCTCCAATATCTTTCTCCACAATAACAGACATTGTGTTATCGAGTATTTCAGGCAATCGAGAACTGGAGGCTTTAAAAGCAGGTGCATCAACAACAGTTGAAGATCCTGGAATTTGACCAGTTTTGTAATCAATAGAAGCAAAATTAGGAACACCCACTGCCACATTCATGGTAGCATTCCCTTCAGCTACAACATTAGCATCAGGCTTACTCATTGTCGCATCAACTCCAGCCTGAATTACAGTATATGCATTTAGCTGAGCACCAACAGCAGATAAAAAATATTTTTGCTTTCTGCCACGCCCTCTAGATGTCTCTCCGCCATTACTTGGCCTTCCCCTTGCTTTAGGGATTGGGCTACAGCTAGGAGATGGGTAGAAGTGCAAGGCAGTTACGCCCAACTGTGGTGTAGTGTTTGCAATAACGTTGTTAACTGCAGCAGACTGTGGACCAGAACCTGCAGAAACAGCAGAAGGCTCTTTATGAGGTTCCATCTCCCCTTTATTAGTTATAGGAAATGGGGCAGGTGGCACTGATACAGAAGTTGTCATATGTAAAGATGATCTCCTTGGTCTGCCTCTTCCCCGTTTCACCTGCGGTTCCTTGCTGGGTTGCAAAGATTCATTTGGTTGTGTCGAGGAATCCTTTGCTTGTGGTGATGCAAGCACAACATCAATCAAGTTAGGTGGGTTGTAGATCTTTGCCATATATAAACCTTGAGATTGATCAGCAGGAGCAGCTGATTCAGGGGAGTCAACTTGACACATTTTCTCAAATTCTTCTTCGGTCATCTGATCCTCATAAGATCGAATCTTCAAAAAAATATAAAATAATAAAAATAAAGTTGCCGGAAGTAATTTATATGGAGTAAATTGAGCCAAGGCATAAGAAGAAAACCATACTTACCTCACGAGCACGTTTGCCCCTCCCATATTGCTCAGTATCAAGGCCTCCAAGATTCTGACCTTTTCTTTTTGTAATGATGGGTACATTATTTACAATGGAAGTATCATAAATCCTCATCGCTTCATAGAATGGTTTCAAGTCATCTTCCGTAACAAGACGTGAAGGCATTGATAACGGCTTCGATGCATCTATTTTATTTCCCTGAACCAAATTAATCCATGCTGCCTGAAGGTATATTACAAGGCAGCATTAATTACAAAAAATTCACAGAGCTTTAAAACATGAGAAAAAACAGGCATGAGGGGGCTAGCAAATTAAAGCTTAACATACGCACCATCTCTTCTTCACGTCTTTTCTTGTCAATAGATTCAAAAACATCAATCTCGGATTCACTGTAACAATTCCGAAACAAATAAAAATAGTAAAAAAAAAAGCCATTTAAATAAGAAAAGAACAGCCATGTGCACACAGAATCAGGAAAACGACCTATCTTTAATTTAGTAATTCGGAAACTTAGAATAAGGCTGGTTTGGGACGGCTTTTTTACTACTTCTTAAAACAGCTTTTTAATAAAAAATTAAAATTTTATACTAAAAAATTGTTTTAAGAAGCAGTAAGAAAGCCGTCCCAAATGAAGCCTAAGAGTGAAAAGGAAAAACACCTGCGAGCTAAAAGATCGTTGAGAGAATCGTCATCTAAAACAAGTGCTGCTTCTTCTTTCTTGCACTCCCTGAGGAGGGACTCCAAATATTCTCTTCTATCTTCAGCACTGCCACAGACTCAAACCAAAATAAGAGAGAAATATTGAGATATATATATATATATGGCCAAAAGAAAAAAAAGGATCATAAACAAACAAATGGAACCTTGTGTTGTTGTCAAAAAATCCTGCAGTTATGCTCTGATTAGCAACTCCCAATTTGTGTTCAGCTGAAGCTCTAACATGTTCTTCAACCGTACGCACCTTAATACAGAAGCAAATAAATGATACAACAATTAAGTTAAATTTGTCCAAAGTTTTTGCAGCTCACAAACATTGCCCGTGTTATTTTGGGTAAACTCCGATCATCTGGATTTAGATTTTTACTCATTTTGAGAGGTTTAATTAACACATGCTTTGAAGACTAATGAGAGAAAAGTACTTTAGAAACCTACAAAATCAAAGGGTAAATCTTAATTGGCATAAGAATCTAAGAGTCCTAATTAATTGAGAAGACTTCACATATTTAAGTAAACATGCATTCGAGAAAATGAGCAAGCAAGAGGAAGTGATATATGTCTTAGTATTTGTTAGATTAAATAATGCGAAGGCTAATATTATGCATGTCATATGATGTTTAATAAGTGCTTAGTGATTTAAAGATATTAGTCCCTATGAACTTTCTATCGAATTACCAAAACTTAGGAATATACGATATGAGATAGATTTAATTTAAGAATCATTATGGCCTAATTAGCTTTAGTATAATACGAATCATACAAAATCTGTTTTAGTTCATAATGCAGGTTGCTGAATTGCTCAATAAGAAATATATTAGGAAAGTTATAATTCCTTGCGTTGTAATTATTTTGTTTACTCTAAAGAAGAATTGTAGTTGGAGAATGTGTAGGCAGTAGGACTATTAAGAAAATTACTATCAAATTCAAATTTCATGTACCAAATTTGGATGATATGTTAGATATGATGAATGATAAAGTAATCTTTGTTAAAATTAATCTGAGAAGTGATATCAAGTTAGAATGAGAGAAGGTGAAAAATAGAAATCGTCCTTAAAATTAAATAGAAATAATATAAGTGGTTGGTTATACTATTTGAATTAAACAATGCACTTAACATTTTCATGAGAATAATTAATGTGTTGTGACCTTTTAATGAAAATTTTTTTGTTGTATTTTAATTATATTTTAATGTATAGTAAGATGAGTACATCTTAGAAAGCTATTTGAGATATTACATAATGCAAAAGTTATATATGAATATGAAGACATTATTTTGTGACTCCATCTGTAATCTTTCTAGGATATAGCGGTGTTATTTAGCAGAGCCAGGCTAAGAGCACCATGGATTGGACTTGACTTGATCATAATACAAGTTGTTCATGTTCGGCTCTAGCTCAATCTAGATTTTCTTATATGTTTGCACTTTGATTGTTTAAATTTTTCTATAATCAAATTTCAGTAGGCTAACATAAAAAAATTGAACGAGTAGTTAAACAACAAAATAACAATTAAATGAGTACTTGACTTCTTATATTAATTAATAATATTTACAACCACATCAACTATAAAATCAGCCTAAATATCATTTATAATTTGACAACCAAAAGGCGAAAGGGTCGGGATTATAATCAAAATTTTCTAGTTGCAAATTTGAAGCTAGAGATCATGAACTTATAAAATCTTAAGATGATGCAATATATATATACCAAATATTTAACGTCATTTAATGGTTACAACAAGCCATCAAAGGATATGCTGCTTAATTTTAAAGCTATCGTATATTATTTACTTTAAAACCTATCATTACTACGTACATTGCTTAGTTTAGAACCTTGTTAAAGTAAAATTTTCTCATAATTCTCTAATCAAATAGAGCACCATGGGTTCATTACTTCTATTAAAGCAAACTTATGGCATAAATAGCTAAGAGTTACACGATAAAGAAACTAATCCAAGGCAAAAACTTCATATAGCAAGTTAGTTTGAATAATAAATACTAGTGACGAATCAACAAATTATTTTTAAAATAAATCTAAATATTAAAATAGTGTCATACAAACATGAGTTGTATAGAAAATAAAACCATATTAGAAAAGAAAAGCAATATTAACAATTTCAAATCATAATAATTGCAATAAAAAATAGTGATGTAGGACTAAATGTGTTTGTTGATGTTTTATCTTAGAAATTATACGTTTTTAAAAGAGCAAGAGCAATTAGTCACTTCCAACGATTTAAATGATGAATGAAAATAATAAAGCAATAATTTAGTTCAAACAATAGATTACATGATAAAAATTTAGAACACAAAATAACTAATCAAATCAGATTTAGCTTAATGTGGGGCTTTCGAAAGAAATCCCTTAATTAACATTTAGAATAGTCACTATTTAAGATCCCTCACTCTCACTCTTAATAACTGGTTAAGCAGAGAAAGCTTGCATGATCTTTATGATGCCACAATTGAGAGGGACCTAGAAGAAATAAGATTCGGGAGAGAGTTCACCTTTGTCAGGATTCGGAAGAAAGTTGCTACTGAACGGGAGGTTGTCGTTGATCGATAGCGGTGACAAGTGAGAAGAGGATTCGTTACACGTAATCTTCAACGAAGAGGTCGTTCTCTAGGTCAACATCGAAGAAAGGAGATCGGTAGATGTCAATAAACCCTTGTTTGTCGAATACGAAGTCGTGATCACGTTCAGGATCGGCCATCCATGAGAAAGGAGGCCTAACAAGGTGTTGGGGAGGGAGAGATTTTGCTTCTTCTTAGGTGAAGTACCAAGCGTAGGAGAGGAGATGTAGAGGAGGGGGGGAGTTTGGGTGGTCGGCCAAGGCTAGTAGAAGAGGGCTGATTTTTTATTTAAGAGTTGTGTTGTTGGTTAGGAAGGAATCAACTCAAATTTATGAAATTAATTTCAGATTTTATGGTGGAGATGATTAGGGAACTTGATTTTAATTTCTCTAAAATAAAGGAGAGGAGGGAAGAGGGGGCGGCTACCTTTAATGGGCATTGATTGGGGAGTTAATTAGGAGCATTAATGGAAGTAGAATTTAGAGAAGAGAGAGGGCAGGGCCGGCAGCTAAAGGAGTGAGGGAGGAGTTTTGGAGAATTTCAAATAGTTTCCAAGCAAAGCAACTTAAATTAAAAGAAAGAGAATGTCTATATCTCTTTTAATTTAGATTCAAATTCAAATTGATTTGATTGAGAGACTTTCCAAATATAACTCATGTTAATTAGGAAAGATTCAAATTTGAAATTGATTCAAAATTGAATTAATTATCCTTCCAAATTCATCATGATCTAATTTAGGAAAGTAGTAAAGGATAAGGAAATTTTGGATCCAATGAAAAGGTGGAAGTAGCCGGCGGCTAGAGCTTAGGGCGAGGGAGGCTGGCAGCTATGGGAGGGGGTAGAGCTTGGAGCTAGGTGGAGTTAGGGCTGGCATTTTGGATGGAAAGGAGGTGGTGGCCTACAGTTTGGAGGGGGAAGAGTTGGACCATAAGCCCGGATGTTTCCTGCGGCTAACGGGTAGTACTTTGCCCTCACCTAGGGACTTCAACTCTCACTAGAACTCTCAAGCTCTCCCAAAACACAAGTGCAGAATTTTCTTTTCATAATAATCATCATCCCCTCAAAAGGAAGAGGACGGGGCTTTAAATAGCCAAAATAAAATAGCAATATAAAAGAAAAAAGTGCCCTAAGGGTAAAAAGCAACTACTCCCTCAAGTGAGGGTAAAAATGAAAAACTGAGATAATAAATCAAATACACATATTATAATAATTAACCTCATACAAATGACAGCTAAAAAATAAAATGGTGTGATCATCGCCATAGATCGTCAGCCTCTTGTCTGGTAGACTCTCCATGGTCGGAAGTCCTCATCAAATAGTTTGAACATCAACTAATTAAATGTTTCAACATTCAATAATAAATTTTTATACTGTAAAATACATCATTTTTTCACTTTCATTAATATGATCAAAACTTTTTTTCAGAAATTCATTTGATGCAACATAAATAATTAAATATCAAGAAAATACATAGAAAATAGCCATGGCACAAACAATGAGCAAATTATAAAATAATCAATTCAGCTAGCATACCAAAACCAACATGAATCAGGATAAATGTAGTTGGCTAAATTGCAAGATAAAGCATCAATAGATAAAGCCAGTAAAATATAGAAACCAGGGTGTAAGCAACAACAAAAACAATGTCAAATCACTAAACCAATGTTAAAACTAATTATAAACAAGAGCATCAATCAATAACTAAGGAAAATAGTTTGAATCAGAGCGTAAGGGCAATATCAAAACTCCAAGAGTAAAGCTAGTAAGAAAAATCAAATGTTTACAAGTTGACAATTAGTAGTTAATTTAAACAACAATAAAGAAACTTATTGTGTTATTGATGAGGACATCCGACCATGTAGAGTTTAACGGAGATGGGCACCCGATGATCTACAGCCACGATTGCACCGCTTTACTTTTGAGTTATTAAATGTATTAGATTTATTATTATGTTTGTATTGAGCTTATTATTACATATTTTTCATTTGTACCATCACTTAAAGGAGTAGTTCTATACTTCTATGAAAGCTCTAGGGGCATGTTGGTCTTTTGTTTTTCTTCATTGTATGTTGGCTATTTAAAGCCTCCCCCTCATCTTTAGAGGGTAATGATGATTATTATTCAAACAAATTTCTGCACTTGTGTTTGGGAGAGTTGGGAGAGTTCTCTTAAGAGTGAAAACCCTAGGTAAGGGCAAGTATCACCCATCAGCCGCAGGAAGCATCCGGACTCGTGATTACCCTTCTTTCTCTAATTCCCCTCCTCCACTATCTTCTGGCCATATCCCCCCTGCAAAAGCCACTGGCCAAGCCCCATCTCCTCACCCAAAGCCACCGGCCAAAACCCCCCAAAATCCCTCCCCTAGCTGCTGGCCATAAGCCCTCCCCTCCTCCCAAGCCGCCAGCCAAAAAACCCTAAAATTCCTCCCTAGCTACCGCCCTTAAAGCCCTCCTCCTCCCTAGCCACCGGCTAAACCCTAAATCTCTCTCCCTCTCTCTAGTCGCCGGCCACCTCTTCCCCCCCTTGGGTCCCAAAACTTTCCAAACTATGCATTCACATACTTTCCTAAATTAGTTCCTCTAAATTTGGGAACTATTTGAATTCAAACTTCATCACATTTGAATTTAGATAACTTTCCTAAAATAAGGGAAGTTATCTTTGGAAGGTCCATC